AAATGGAATTGATAGAAACTGCAAAACACAGCTTTTACAGCATACCTCTAACATGCCGCGCCCGCAAGCGATGGCCTTGACTCGCACGAGCACTGCAAGACACAACCACGCATCGCGGACAGGCGGCTGGTGCATGGGCTACACGTACTAGGATGACTGAGCGCTCGGGCGTGCTGCCGGGCATCGCCGAGGCTCGCTGGGCATCGCTGGCACGCTGCTGAGCGTGCTGGCGTGCGTGGTGACTGGCCAGCGTGCGTAGTACGCTGCTGGCGTGCGTACGTGCTTCGCGGGAAATGCTGCTGGGCGTGTGACGCGTTGCGGTGTACGCAGGTGAGCAGAGATGTGCGCTGCCGTGCGCATTGGCGTGCACTGCGCACGTCCACACGCATAACTGCGGCATCGCAATGCTTGTCTGCCGAGTACTAGGCATGCATGCGCGTTACTGGGCGCGCAAACGCTGCCTATGCACTCGCTGGCTTGCCGGGCGTGCCTGTGCGCACTCCGCGTGCGGTAGGCGTCACGGTCGGCGTTTTGCCGGCCGTCCGGCTACTTTTTCCGGCAATCCAGTTATGACTGGAAATGATTTGACTTAAATAACATAAATATGCATAAAGTGTTCGGGACTTGTCGGTTAAAAATTGAAGTTACTCGGAGGGAGCTTATATGGCATCTCCGAGGGCATTTTCCTATAAAACTCGGACCGAACAACGAGATTTCAACATGATCTTCTTATAATGAACTGAAATACATAAAGAGAGGGTAAACAAGAATGTACCCTTCAGTTTGGACGTGAATTGTGCGATGGTGTGCGTGCGTGTTCGGTAGTCCTTTAGTGTCCTTATGCTTCTCTCTTGCTTCGGTAGTACTAACGTATTTTTGTACTATTTTTCTCTTATTTTTCCTTACTGTTTTCTCTCTCAATTATATGCTAAAGTTGGTCGGATTTTTGTGCATGAAAAGTGCATGTAAAGTTACACACGGTTACTTATAGAGAGGTAAAACCGAGGGTGAACTTTCGGTCAATGAGGTGAGTGATGACATTATTTCCTTTGATTACAAGTGTCCAAAGCACGGCTGAAGTGTTGGGCAAATTTGCTTAGTCATTGCCGAGGTGGTGGCCATGCACGGGCTTAGTCATCGCCCGTGCGTCCGTGGCATGCCGTGTGTGCAAGCAAGGAGGTGACTCACCACCCCACTTGCACACCCAACCTTTATCCTTGGATTTTTCCTCATGAAATTCTTAGGGAGGGAATTTGGCCTGATGATGTTGCTAAGCGTCGCCTAAGTGCATGCTTAGCGGCCTAATGATGCGCGCGCCATGCACCGTGAGCGACGATGCGCGCTGTGCGCGTTCACGTGCGTCGCTGTGCGCACGACATGCGTGCATGAGTGCGTGTACGTGTGTATACTTCGTGTACCTTGCGTTCTTTCGCAACTTAGCTTAGTTTCAACCTCGAACTTAATTCCGAACATGCTAAACTATTAATAATTAATCCCGATTAATGATATCCATTTATAAAATAAACGGTTCGGAAATTAATTATCGAATTTGACTCGGTTAATAATTAACCAGATAAACTTTTCGACTTAACGACGAACTTATTCACTAAAAATGAACGGAATGAATAAGAGATAATACATCATTTCTATTAACAAAAAGTTGGGTTATTACACATCGTTTTTACAACATACCACTAACAATCTCCCACTTACGCTTTTACATCATTTCTGCTTGACACTCCTCCATACTATGGCTTCTTCTCCTAAAGTAAACACAAACCCTGAGGTTGACTTGCTTTCGTCCCGGTCTGCCTGGAAGTCAGAATCGGTGTAACCCAACGGAAGCAACTCATCTGCCTGGTAAATCAACATGTACTCCTTTGTCCTTCGAAGGTACTTGAGTATATGCTTTACCGCAGACCAATGTTCCTGTCCTGGATTACTCTGATATCTTGCTACCATGCCCACGACATAACAAATATCAGGTCGCGTGCAAAACATAGCATACATGACGCTTCCTACTGCCGATGCATAAGGAACTGCCTTCATGTCCTCTATCTCTTGAGGCGTCTTCGGGGACATCCTCTTAGATAGAGGTATTCCATGTCGAAAGGGTAAATCCCCTTTCTTGCAATCCTGCATGTTGAAACGCTTTAGGACAGTGTCTATGTATGTGGATTGGGATAGGCACAACTTTCACTTCTCTCGGTTGTGAATGACCTTGATTCCGAGAACATGTCCTACTTCACCCAAATCCTTCATATCAAACTGCTTGGATAACCATACCTTTACGTCTGACAACATTTTCACACTGTTTCCAATGAGAAGAATATCATCCACGTACAACACTAGAAACACCACCACGTTTCCATCACTTTTCTTGCACACACAGTGCTCATCCGGACATTGGGTAAATCTATACGATTGGACAACCTCGTCAAAACGGATGTTCCAAGATCTCGAAGCCTGCTTCAGCCCATAAATGGACCTCTTCAGCTTGCAGACCAGATGCTCTTGGCCCTTTGCAATTAATTCTTCTGGTTGCTGCATATAGATGTCCTCGTCCAAATTCCCGTTAAGGAAAGCGGTCTTAACATCTATTTGCCAAACCTCATAATCCATATGAGCGGCCACAGCCAAGAGAATCCTGATGGATTTGAGCATGGCTACCGGCGAAAAGGTTTCCTCATAATCGATCCCTTCTTTCTGAGTGTACCCTTTCGCAACAAGCCTAGCTTTGAAGGTCTCAACCTTCCCATCTGATCCTCTCTTTCACTTATAGACCCACTTGCATCCAATGGCATGAACGCCACTGGGTGGCTCTACAAGATCCCAGACCTGATTAGTGTCCATTGACTCTATTTCAGATTTCATCGCCTTTTGCCAAGACTCTGCATCCCGATCTTGGAGTGCCTCATTGTATGAGCATGGGTCGGATTCAACAACGTCCGGGACGGCCTCAGAAGACTCTCCCAGACCCATGAACCATTCGGGCTGCCGGACAACCCTCCCACTACGACGAGGTACTACCTGCTCAGGTGCATCGTCAGCGATACGTGTTGCAGTACTTTGTGGTGTTACATCTAGCGCACTCGGTATCGAAGTACTCACTCCCTTTAACTCCTCAAGAACATGTCTACTACTGGGCTTATGATCTCATACATAGTCTTCTTCCATGAACCTAGCATTCGTGCTAACAATTACTTTCTGGTCCTGGGGACTATAAAATAGACCATCTTTCGTTTCCTTAGAATATCCCACAAACAGCAGTACTTCTGATCTCGGTTCCAACTTATCAGTATCGGTTCTCAGCACATGTGCTGGGCTACCCCAAATCCTGAGATGTCTTAGACTATGCTTATGCCCAGACCACAACTCCAATGGTGTAGACGGTACTGATTTAGAAGGGACTCTATTCAGAATGTATACCGTTGTTTCTAGGGCATATCACCAAAACGAATCTGGTAAACTACTATAACTCATCATTGCCCTAACCATTTCCATAAGAGTTCTGTTCCTCCATTCTGCTACGCCATTCTGCTGAGGCATGCTAGGCGCAGTCAGCTGGGACGTAATCCCATTATCCGTCAAGTAACTCCTAAATTCATTCGAGAGATATTCGCCACCATGATCTGATCGCAATGACTTGATACTTTTTCCTAACTGCTTCTCCACAACTGCCTTATACTCTAAGAACTTCTCAAAGCATTCAGACTTGCGGTGCAGAAGAAAAATGTACCCATATCTCGAGTAATCATCGATAAACGTAACGAAGTACTCAAAACCACCTCTCGCTTGAATACTCATAGGACCACATAGATCGGAATGAACTAGCCCTAACACATCTTCGGCTCTATGCCCCTTTGAACTAAAAACCCTCTTAGTCATTTTACCTTCCAGGCAAGACTCACAAGTTGGAAAAGCCTCGACTTCTAACGACCCCAAGGGCCGTCTGCAATCCTCCTAAGGTTAATATGACCAAATCTTAGATGCCAAAGATATGTTTCGTTCATTTTAGAAGGTTCCTTTCTCTTATTCAGATTAGATGATGAATTAAGTAATTGTTTCTGTTGCAGTGGAGATGACTTAGATTCTAGAATGTATAGATTGTCAACTAATGAACCATAACATATGAACTTTTTGCCAAAACGAATAACAACTTTATTATCAAACGTAGTGGAAAAACCGTTCATAAACAACTTAGAAACTAAAATCAAATTCTTTCTAAAACTGGGAACATAAAGACAATCTTTCAAAACTAGAAACCTATCTAAGCCAAAATCTAAATAGACGTCTCCCACTGCAACTGCTGACGCTCTACTAGCATCCCTCAAGTAGATGGTAACTTCTCCTTCCCTAAGTCGCTTGGTTTCCTGGAACCCCTGCAATGAATCGCAGACATGATCAATGGCCCCTGTATCTACACACCAAGTACTGGTAGATAACACCGCTAAACATGTTTCAACGACTAAAGCAAAAGGAGTACCTTTTTCGGGTTTCTTGGGAAGATGGCAGTTTGCCTTCCAGTGTCCTTTCTGCTGACAGTTGTAGCACTTGCCTTTCGACTTCTTCGCTTTTGTCGAGGTTGCGCGTCACTCATGACCGCCTTGCCCTTTCCAGTGGACTTCTTCCTCTTCTTGCCCTTAGGAGCCTTAGAAGTGGAAGCTTCTCCCCGCTGGGCCACCATGGCTTGGGTCTTCTGACGAAACAGGCCCTCTGCCGACTGAAGCTCAACAACAAGTTCCGGAAGAGTCATTAACATCTTATTCATGTTGTAATTCAACCGGAATTGCTTGAAACTCTTCGGCAAAGACTGGAGCACTATATCGATCTGGGTTTCCCCATCAATAAAAGCCCTAAGAATCTCCAGCTCATTCAGCTGGGCCGTCATAGCAAGAACATGTTCCCTTACGGGAGTGCCCTCGCGCATGGTCATGTTCATCAGAACCCTCATGGCCTCTTGTCGGGCAGCCCGCGACTGATGACCAAATAACTCCTTGAGATTGAGTAGCATATCCGCTGCAGTGTTCATAGACTAATGTTAATGTTGAAGTACATTTGACAAAGATGCCAAGATGTAACACTTCGCCATCTCGTCAGCCTTTTTCCACCGAGCATACTCCTCTTTCTCTTGGTCTGGTGCATTGTCAGCAGGCACAGCCGGACAAGCCTCAACAGTTGCAAATTTGTACCCTTCAGCAGTTAACACTATATCCAAGTTCCTTTTCCAGTCAATATAATTGGGACCAACAAGTTTGTTTTCTTTGAAAATTACGGACAACGGATTGAAAGACATTTTGAATTCCTGGGATCATGCAAACATAGTCTTTACTCAGTCAAGTATTTTTGAATTTATACATCAAATATTGATCCCATTAAACAACATTTGAATAAATTCACCAACACCTCAAAGTACCGAATCCCCGTAGGCCACTGAGTGTGGACGTCTACGGTTCAAACATTTGCAAGAGGAGGGATAAATCCCATTAGCTTAACATACTGCCGAGCAGTACTTAACTAATAGTCGGTCTCATCTTTTGGCCAGCGCAATCAACTTTTTAAAAGAATAACTTTATAAGAGAATAAAAACGACCTTGTCCTTTTGGACTATCGTAATTATTTGCACTTTAAGCGTAACCCATTAATTGGTACTAAGTTTACTACCAAAATTATACGTCCACCTTTGGGTGACCCGTACGCTTTTAAAATAGCTCACTATAACCATCCCGAAGGAGATTCGTCCTTGTGAACTGTGAAATAAAACGTCACTTCACTGACAAACCTATAATGGAGGCCTTGGATGTAATTTATTTCAACCCATTACACACTTAATATATTTTTATTTTATGGGATTTTCTTAACATATTTGTATTTGCACATAAGCAATCACATAAAACATGCATGATTAATGAGCAATAATAAACTAGGAATTATAATCCAACTATCATGGCCATTAATCAATCTCCAATGTTACGGAGAAAACATAGCCCTGTCCTTGTCGAGTGTGTCCTCCGTTTCAGGTATTGGAACTCCCTCTTTCACAGTGACTCCCACTGAATTGGTTGTCTCCAGGAAAGTCGCCATTGGATCAACACCATGGCATCCGTGTACGTTTTTATGCCTCGCCCCGTCAAGGTTGGTCCACGCCCGCCGGATCAATGATGATTAATATGAACAACAATTACATAATTCATCCTATGACCCACGCAGGAGCCGTACATGAGTTTCTATGAAAGAAATAAACTATGCGGTGTCCCACCGCGTGAATAATTTATTACAAGCATTCACCAACCCAAAAATTCCTTGACATGTCCAAGGCTTTAAAAACAACATACATAAAACATGAATTAAAATCCATACATACGGGCCACAATAGTCGGATTCGAAAAACCTGCAAAAACTTATTGCAATTTCTAATCTACTATGCCGCTGCGTCCGTACGCACATAATTTATGTAGACAGGCAAAGTCCAAAATTCAAACTGTGCACAAGTTTGCATTAAGCCTGGGCTCTGATACCAGTTGTTGGGTTCTGTTAGGAACATCAAACAACATGCACAGTATTGAACTTTATCGAAATAAATCCTAACGCAGCAGAATCTATAATTATGATATGGACATTTACCTTTTAATTTTTTTTTTTTGCCGACTCTGAGACGATGTAGAGTACCGTTGGTGAAGTTCGTCTGAACACCACAATCTAATGGGCAGATAGGTTTGGCCTTTAGTTTATTCTAATCAACTCATCAAACGGATCACGAACGGACGGTGCGCGGGTCTCGGTCGTCGGGTGCAGCGGACGTGCGCATCGGGCGCGGACAGCGAACGTCTCGGTCGGGCGCGTCGGGAGCTGGGCAAGCACGCGGACGG